CAGGTATATACTAGCAATTTATTACCAAAATGTTACTTTCCAGGTGTACCTTAAACTGGTCTGTTTAGGATTTTTACATAAACTGTTTCAATATGGTCATTTGATTGCTTAGTTTTAAATTCAAAGTAAAAGTACTCCCAAACATTTCTGTTTTGACTGTAGCTTCATTCAAGATAGTTGCCGACATTCTTTCGTTTTCAAAAAACTACCGATTTCTGCTAAACTTAGTTCAATAGTACTAATAACGTCATTTCATCTTATTTCCACATACTGGTCAAGTTGATATAGTAAATTCTAATACGATACGTGAAGTCACAATAGCTACAACAATTGAATTAATGGTCTTTATTGGAATATGTATGGCCGCCAAAATTCATAAATACAAAGAGTAGTACAATAACGTCATTTCGAAGGGCAATATACTGAAATATTGGATTGAGCGCCGAAGGCCCAAGGTCCAATATTTTTCTATATTGCTCGCAGAAATGACGTTACTACGAGTATTACCACCGTTAATGACCAGAGCTGAAATAGCAAGAAAACCTTACGCGCTGAACGATATCTAATTTCTCGGGGAAAATTGCCGATTGTAAAATGCATTATCCTATGCCAAGAAGAGTTTTAGGGAGATAAGTTGGTAATATATATCCCGTATCCTGATTTTGAGGTTTCCATATCCAGAACCTCCAAATCTCCCGCCATATCTCCCGCTTCGGTACATATCATCCCGCTTCCGGTGCATATCTTCCCGCTTCCGGTAATGCAATAAGGTGTCACTCCGGTAAATAGCACTTCCGGGTAGGACAGTGTTTTTTAATACTTTAAACACGAAGCCATGTCAACTTCAATGGTGTGTATAGTAGGTTTAAATGTATGCAATGTGGCCATTTGAGGTATGTATGTAAAGCTGAGGCCAAGTACTTTCTAAATGTGCCATTTTAAGAAAAAAATCGCAAGAATATAGTCCCGTAAACTGGAACTACTTTATTCGTTAATTTTCATCGGTGAAGCAGGGATTTTACCTGAAAATGAGTCCCTATGTTGGCGTAGTGATATATACAAATCGAGACGCAAACCCTATGTTAAATATAGTGTCAAGATGAAGGTTATGTATAGCAGAAATACAGTCATTGTATGGGCTAGTTCGTTCGAAAATGGCGATATGTACCCCAGAACTTGAATTTTGTGATTTTTTTCATTATTTTTCAATGATTTACAGGAGTGACACCTTAAAATGACTTTGCATATGACTGATTTGTTTATTTTCACACCTTGTACTATTGAAATGGCCATATGCTCCTGAAAACTCTACTTGGTATAGGATAAAGCAGTTATGTACGGTCGGTTTGGATATTGGGTTCATCCCTCGTGAGATATGCACATCTACCTTCAGTCCCTACGGTCCCTCAGGTAGATATGCATATCTCCCTCTGGATAAACCCCATATCCAAAACCTCCGGGTACATAACCCTTATTTATTGACCGGCAATATGGCCCGCCACTATGACGTAACTGCTCATGTTGATATAGTAAAATAAATGCCTTCTAAACTAGCACTCATAACCCTAGAATAGGACCGGTAAGGTGGTAATAATTGTTTTTCTTGTCTGTCTATCATATTAGAATTGATTTCATGATTAATGTCAAATATATGACCTCAGATTTTATTCTGGCAATTGCTACGCGATTTCGGTCTTCTAACAATGAGCAGAATATAATTTTTGGTCATACATTGCGCCATAAATTATAAAATATCGGTCTTTATTCCTTAAATAAATGTCTTCTAAACTAGCACTTATACCCCTAGAACAGGCCTGGTAATACCGTGGTCACATTGCTCCGATATTTACTACGACGCCCGGCCGATTGAGTATTTTTATTCAATTCAATATGTATCTAAGCGCAAAACTAATCATTTATCCGCGTCTATGGTATTTTGTGGTTCATGGTATTTCACAAACACAAAGTTGATCATCATTTTTTATATAATTCATTCATATAATTTATTTTGACAATTCATATCTAAAACATAATATTGTAGTGGCTCTGGTTATCGAATTATAATATATAACTCGGTATAGGCTTAATATACTTATCTAGATGTAACCAAAATCTTTATAAATCATTTAAAAACTCCTATTTAGGAACCCTTATTATAACAATTTGGATTAGTGTTCGTCTTCGAAAATAAGGACGTCAGCAAGGAAGTATTTTAAGCGATTTTTAAAAAGGCGATTATATCCAAGAGGCCTAAATATTGCATATTAGAGCTATATACAGGGCGTTCAATAAATACTGATAAAATTGCTGAATTTTTTTTATATTTCTGACTAACTTTTCTACTGAACGTAGTTGAGTATTGTGCTGTAAGAATTACAAGAATGCACTCTAACAGGAAGGTGGTACTGGATGGAGCCTAAGATGGTTCGCCGTGGTTTAGATCTGCATGAAAATCTTTTCAAAAGAACCGCTTCAAATGTGAACAGTTTCATTCATAATTTTATTTTGAATCGATTTTGACAGTTGGGTAATACACACTGGTACTAAGATACCTTGGCATCACCTAACATGGCTGCTGAACAGAATATATCAATGATATTCATCAAATTAGAAGCAGCGTCAAGTTCTATATACATGTAACCATAAGTTAATCAAAATAGGATGCAACAAAGGACATTAATGAAGGTTTTGGGGAGGACACTTTATCTATCCCTGGCATATATCATTGATTCTGCTATTTCAAATAGGGAGACAGTCAGTTGAAGATGAACCCAGACAGGAGTGACCAAAAGCTGTAACTTCCCATAGTCAGATTGATGCACTATACTTATTGAATGAATTCCTATCAGAAAAATTGCAGACATGACTAATTCAAATTTTGGTTGCACGCATCATTTTATTCATAATGATTTACAAATGACATTGATTTGTGACAAGTTTGTGCGCAAACAATTGACTGAGGAACAATTTTCATTTTGATGATTTTGAATTCGATGGTGTCAAATTATTCGAGAAAGATTTGTCTTTTGATATCCAAAGTATGTTTTAGGGGAAAAACCCAAATTATGAAAGATATTGAACTTTTTGTAAGTGTAACATATTTTTTGAGACACACTGTATATTACTCAACGATCCACACTATAATAATTAGTTAGATATCTGAAAAAATAAAAAGTTACAGCATTTTTATCAGTACTTATTGAACGCCCTGTAAAACCTCTTCAGTTTGATTATCGATGATTTTATTTGTGTTTTATCTGTGTCCGATATTTTTTAATTATTTTTTTTCTTCGACACCATCCTCATTATCTCAAAAGAACATTGGTTGATTGAGTTTTAACGAGTTGTATTATTTTACAGGCTATACGTATTAACATTTATAAGTCCAATTCGTTCGAATAGGTAGGGTTCTTTGGCAGGAGTTTTTAGCAGAACCGAGGCCTGTTTGAAATTATGCAAATGTTGTCGGTAATGCATGCAAGTTGAAGAGAAGATGGTGTGCATACATACATGTATTACTGTACTTTCAGGTGCAAGATGACGACGATAACTCTGGCGACAACGATGACTGATGGTGCTCTTGATGATGACGACGTTAATACGATTTGTTGCTTGAGGCATATCTAAACATTGTGATTGTTTGTGTTGAAGTGATGTCTATACTCAAAACGATCTAATGATATTAGGATTATAATACGAAGTGTGAACTCGGAAACTAATTTTTGGAAATATGTTGTCCTTGAAGCAATCTTTTATCTCTGACAATTGACTCAGGCTAACTCGGATTCATTGCTCTTGTATGTATTTCAATATATTTATGAAAGTGAAACTTATCTTGAACTTTCACATTGGTTACATCCTAGAGAGTCCTGTATATCTTTCGATATATGTATCTCTAGGGTTTATAAAAATATTTGTCTTTTTCTATGTACTCTTCGGTAAATGTATCCAAGTCGTATCAGGTTCGGGTTCAATATAACGAGTGTAACAATGGCGACAACGATGTTGATAGTGTTTATGATGAGAAGATATTATTTGGGAAGAGGTATTGAATGTCATTTGTTCGTAGTAATAATTAGTCTTGAAAAGATGCTTTTATATCATGTAGATAATTATAGCTTATGAAGCACTGGAACATGCTTGGCACGACAATTGAGTGGAATTAATTAATGAAACATGAAGAGCAGCTAACAACTGTAGATAATAAATAATAAACTGAGTTTGGCATGACAATTGAGCGGAGCTGACTTGTAAAAAATGAAGGTTAGGTTGAAAACATGTAGATAATAGGAAATAACAGTGATAAACAGGGTTTGGCATGACAATCGTGTGGAATTAGCTTTTGAAACATGAAGAGGCGATTGACAACATATAGAGAAAAAAAATAAACAGAATTTGGCATGACAGTTGAGTGGAATTCGCTTTTGAATCCCGAAGGGCGGTTGACAACTGTATCTTAATACGAAATAAACCGAGTTCGGCATGGCAATTGAGTGAAGCTAGCTTGTAAAAAGAAGAGATTGAATACATGAAGATAATACGAAATAAACAGAGTTTGACATTACTGTTGGGTGGAATTAGCTTGTGAAACATGAAGAGGCGATTGACAACTTGTAGATAAATGATGCTTGACAATTGAGTGGAATTAGCTTTTGAAACATGAAGAGGCGATTAACAACTTGTAGATAAATTATGTTTGACAATTGAGTGGAATTAGCTTATGGAACATGGAGAGGCGATTGACAACTTGTAGATAAATGAAATATAAAACGTTTCGCATGACAATTGAGTGGAATTCGCTTATGAAACTTGAGGGGCGGTTGACAACTGTATCTTAAAACGAAATACACCGAGTTTGGCATGACAATTGAGTGGAGCTAGCTTGTAAAAGATAAAGAAGAGATTGAAAACATGTAGATAATACGAAATAAACAGAGTTTGACATGACATTTGGCAGGAATTAGCTTGTGAAACACGAAGAGGCGATTGTCAACTTGTAGATAAATGAAATAAACCGAGTTTGGCATGACAATTGAGTGGAATTAGCATATGAAAATTACGAAATAAACTGAGTTTGGCATGACAATTGAGTAGAGCTAGCTTGTAAAACATAAAGAAGCGATTGAAAACATGTATATAATACGAAATAAACAGAGTTTGGTATGACAATTGTTTGATTAGCTTTTGACACAATGCGATAGACAACTTGTAGATAAATGAATAAACAGTGTTTGGCATGACAATATGAGTGGAATTAGCTTATGAAACATGAAGAGTGGTTAAACGATTACTGAAGATAATACGAAATAAACAGAGTTTGACATGACATTTAAGTGGCTTTTTATTGAAAGAAAGAAAGAAAGAATAAGATTAACTACTGCCATGTGGCATGGCATTGCCTCAAATAAGAGCGATGAAACCTATATTTTAGCAAAATAACAGAAACCGTACATTTCTTTTCTTGCTTCTACAGGTATGTTTCAAGTTTCACTAATTCTGAACAAAACCCAGATGACACAAGAACGCCCGGTTGATTTCACACAATTCTCTCGATCAACATGTACGACAAATCGATCAACTTTACTTTCATACGGTGAAAACATTACTTTTCGATGCTTTAGACATATTTAATGTAATAAATAATGACAAACTAGATGAATTACTAGAACTAATTAACTAGTATGTTTGAATAAGTTTTAGCTCTTCAATTTCATCATGTGAAAAACCATAGGATTTGCAAGCTGTCTTGAAACATGTAGTTCCTGTTTCAAGCTTTATCTTTTATTGCGATTTTGGATTTACTTGTTTCGATTTATGGTACCCCGAGACGATAACAATATCAATAGAATGGGAATATTGGTCATGGATGTTTATATAAGTTATCGGAAATACAACAAGTAACTTGATTATATATATTTCTTATATTTCAGATAGGATCGGGTCGAGATACTGCATATAAAAAAGAATTATTTAATGGAGAGGCATACGTGTTGACATCTCTCTGTGATGAGCACGGGGATGAGCATGTTATGTGATGTTAGATATGGTATGATTGCACCGCACATTGCTACACTCCAACACAAAACTGTGTCAGAAACATCTTGTCAAAGGAGAATATTGCCTATCATATCTTACTGTCTATCATATGTAAGACAAACCAAGAACTACTTTCTACAAGGAACGCCGTGTTGATATTCTGCATGATCTGGGTGAAGGTGAAACTCAACAACTCATACCATTCAACATACCACTAACTGGTACCAGTGTGGTAAACATAACAGTAAATTCTGTAATATACTTTAAAATCAACACGATGAAAATTCCAATTGACTTATAATCAAACTGTATTCATATTTGTGATTTTTTTTTCTTTCTATGAACTTTGCATGTAGGTCTCTTCAGACTGGTTCAAAAATTGAATTATGGGCTCTCATTCCCAGGTAGAGAACATGAACATGTAAACCCCTATTGAGATGACATATGTTTCTGATTGGTCAAAATCGAAAAACAAAATGTCGTCCTCAAAACTTTCGAAATACGCTTCGAATAATATTTTTTGTTCATTTTTTTGCATGTTGACCAATATCATAACTTTATATTTCACATCAACATAAATATAGATGTACATAATATGCCTACATGTATTTAACACCACATCAGGGTGTAGATATGACATATTTTGTCTTCCATGGATAATGAATAAAAATCGTTTATCAAAGTTTATCGAGAGTATATGATTTTGACCACTCCAACAAGAATTTTGATATGTCATTAACCTTATCATATTTATATTTATTATAATCATAAAAAACAATGCTCAATTGTGATTCTTCCAATGTATGAAGACTGTACGATCGCTTCGAAAAGAATTATCTCAAATAGTAACATTCGAGTAGAATGTGTGCATGTAGATGTGTAAAACTATGCATTAGGTTAGTGTTATAAATCTTTTACTTGTCATAGTAATCAAAAATAATTATCAGATTTTTAGTGTTTTATATTGCAGACGTACTTACGATGGTACTAAAAATAACACATATACAGGGTGGGCCAAAGAATTTTGCAACCTTTTTAGAAGGCAAAAAAAGTATCATAACATTAAGGTATTGACATGAAATTGTTTTACAGAAACTTAAGGATAGGCATATTTCATCATTCAAATATTTAAGCTAATTCTGACTACACATTTTTTTGTCAGATGTTTGAATATTAATGGTAAATTGTTCATGTCTCCGAGATTTACCGATTTTCCTAGAAAATGTGATTTTCTATAATTTTATGTGATCATCGATAGAACATTTTTTATGTTCACTAAAGCTGATGCAATCTTTGTTAAGTGGTGTATTGGGGGGCTATTCACGAGGACTAATGAATCAAGGGGTATTTTGCTCCAGATATTCCATAGTGACTTTTGGCCTATGGTCAGGAGGGCTATCCTGCTGGAATATATAATCACTTGGGGCTGAAAGAGCCCCCATTCTTGAAAGATGTCCCTTTTGAAGAAGATTAGTCCTGAGTCGAATGGCCACCCAATACACCAAATGCCAACCCCTGGGACTATCACACATGGGGGCACCTGGAGCAATGTATTGTAATTATACCCCACAAATTATTGATCAACTATAAGAAGTTCTGCAGGATAAGTGGAGACGACTACCACAAGAACTGCTGGATCTCACCATAGACCAGTTCAGTTCTCGTCTCCATGTGATTGTGAAGGTGAAAGGCGGATGCATAGAACATTTGTTTAATAAATAATTAATACAGTGTAACAATATTACCATAGTAACTAGATACTGATATAAACCTTTACTAGACATTAGTTAAACAGTTATCAAAGATTGTAGCAGATTTAGTAAACATAATGAATGTGTTATTGTTGATCACATAAAATCATAGAAAGTCAGACTTTCTAGGAAAAATGGTAAATCTCGGACAAATGAACAATTTACCATTAATATTCAAACATCTGACAAAAAAGTTTGAAGTCAGTATTAGCTTAAGTATTTGAATGGTAAAATATGCCTATCCTTAAGTTTCTGTAAAAAAAATTCATGTCAATACCATAATGTTATGATACTTTTTTTGCCTTCTAAAAAGGTTGCAAAATTTTTTGGCCCACCCTGTAGAATACGATAAAGCGCTGAATGTAGACTCAGTTGAGTTATTGTTCGGGGATAATCATCACTGGTGATCCACTCGATTACGCTGGTTACCAAAACGATTCGTTTCGTTTTGGTAACAAAATGTCGGAACATCGAAGGTACGATTTTTCTTTTTTCCTTATTTCACACGTTGTAGGCAGAATTCCGACGACATTTTTAACACAAACGTGTATCAGTATCATATGTTTAAGAAAATGTACATATTTGCGAACAAATAGTTCAGAAGACAACAGAATCGTCGATTTGATTTCTCACTTAAGTTACATAAACGGTTTTTCGAAAAACAGTTAAGATCTGCACTTGTGTGCCATGCTTATAGTATTCACATACCAAATATGAACAAAATCGCTCCACTACTTTTCAAGTTATAGTTAAAAAAGTAAAAAAGGTCGCCATTTTTCATAATTGCAGCCTTCTACCAAAAGTGTCATTAGACAGTGTGCAATGCATATAGTATCCACATACCAAATATGAACAAAATCGCTCCACTAGTTTTCGAGTTACAGCAAAAATCGTAAAATAACGAGTAAAGGCCCCCGTTTTTCAAGATGGCTGCCATGTGCTTCTTTCATATCTACATTCTGGCTTTATTAATGTCCTATATATTTTGTTACATTTAAAACATATTGCTATTACAGTTTTACATATTGTACCTAGATTACTGTAAAATTGGCACTAAAATGGCCGCCATTTTTAAACGAGCAGCCATTTTGAAAATTGGCCAACGGCATTAGACGTAATAAGATTTGAATAATAAACCATCGAATTTGACTTTTGAAACACTGAAATATGACTTTTGAAACAAATTCTTTAAACCAAACGTTCATCGAATGCCAGGTGTTTGTAAAAAGCAATAAGCCTTTCAAATTGGGAAATTTTTTGAAATGCTTGTGAAACTACGGAAAGTTTCAGCTGCCTCTTTGAGAAACTAAATTGGTGGTTTAACAGTAATTCAAACATGCCAAGAGTGTCTCAGCTTAAAGGATTTCAGTGTGTTAATTGATTGTTATATGCACAAAAAAATGATTTGCTGTGCATTTAATCTTTGATATATGCATGGGTTGAGCAGGGCTATTCTTTAAAAGGGGGTGAAAGCATATCATCCATGTGTTCTTTTCAACTAATTCTTCATAATTTTTCTGCATCAAATTAATTATTTCATTTCCTTAAATATTTTGACAAACAAAACCTTCTCAATAGTTTTCAAATGGATATCAATTGTAACCCATCACCCCTATTGAGTATTTCTAAATAATTAACTTTTCCAAAAACTTAATTTCTTCAAAGAACAACCTTGTAGATGTACATGGTGAACTGTTCAATTTCATCATTGACCCCAGTCATGTTTGAATTGCAATAAAGAATCATGTATCATATTGGAAATATAAAAGCATGAGTGTATGTACTAACCCATTCTGATAATGCAATCAGGCTTCGCCTTTGTGCATTATGTGTACGGGTTAGTACATACACTCATGCTTTTATATTTACAATATAGAATGATACAGGATTCTTTATTCCTTAAAGTATCCGGAGATTTCCCAATGAAGGTGAACAAATGGCTGATTTCCAGGTGTACACATTTTTCATATTTCATCTTATTTATTCGTTACTTTCCATTAAAACCACCATTGATGGGTATAGAGGCAGCTGAATATTTGGTAAAAATATATATATAAAAATATATGCATCGCGTTGATCTTATTATTTAAGGAGTAACATCACAAAATCAAGAATTTATACAAGCCGAGCCATTATTTAGTACCCTGCGTGCAGAGTCTAGTTAAAGAGACGGAGCTCTCTTTTAAGAAGTGAAGTCGAACGAATGCAAAGGGTATTATTTAGTTACAAAGATAAATGCAGGCCTGTCAACTGTCCAGCAATTTGCGTATTTGTCATGCATTTACTGAAGTCAAGCCGGTTTTTTTTTGACATGACAGATTAACATGTCACGCAAATACACATTTTTCTGATTATAGTCAAGCAACAAGGAAATGCAGCAAACTCCTCGAGTTGAGGTCTCCTAGTCAAAAAATGCCTGACCCTCTCATATATCTGTTGATTATCCCTGTTTATAACTGATTCAAGAGCATGGCACTGAACAAACCTATATGCTTATTTGTTTAGTTGTTGGTTGGGTATGGCATTATTTTTGCTTCTTTATTCATTAAATTCAAATATATTCGATATATGAAACATTTATATTCGCTAAATCATTTTTCCATTCGGTAAAAACGTTTATATGTTTGTTAGAGCAAATTAAGTTTTCAAAATAACCAATCACTTAATACTATGTGCATTAAATTACAAATTTCATTCGTTAAATGATATTTTTTGCGTAAATTGTTATGGTATTCCTTAAGAGTAACACATTATATGCACAATATTGAATTTCTATTTGAACCCTACCGAAATAAGTTTGCCTATATTTACCAAATGGTTTATTTTTCTATGACATAGTTAATGCATTTTACCGAAAGCTAATTTGCTATTTACCGAATGCAATAAAGTAATATTCGATAACTTGCGTTGTTGTTCGATATTTTGTCACGTGACTTCGAGATTTGCAAAATGGCTGCGCAGCTATTCTACATCGTACAAATATATCACGTGACTGAAAGTCTCGTAAATTATCGAAAAATAACGAAATGTATCGAATATGGCATTCGGTATTTACCGAATATAAATAGTTTGAATACCGAATGTACAAATAATTAATTGAATTATATGTGCGTTAAGGAAAACAAATTGATTCGCTGCATCACACAAATACATGTATAAATATCAAATGTGAATGTCAATACAAAGAACAAGTGAAACTATTTAGCGAATATAAATTGTATAGACTATTACATTTGATAAAATCGGAAAAAACATTCGATAGATTGGGTAAAGAATTGGTAAATTGTTTGTTTTATTTGGTATTTATGGAATATTCGAACATGACTGTATTCAAACCTTCTATGACGTCAACATTTCACCCGGGGTATATTCGCCAACAGTACCCCTGTTAATACGAGTAATGTGTGACGTCATAACAGTGGGCCGTAGTAATGGCGGAGATTTCAATGAATATTCGAAAAATATTGGTGAATTTTTATGTTCGAATCGTAATATAGACCTCAGAGCAGGTGTAATATCGTCGAATATACCCCTTAGGGCTAGGCACAAAAGCTTTCAAACCCCTCACTCCCTTCGGTCGTTCGAGGTATAGAAAACGTTTGTGCCTAGCCCTGCGGGGTATATTCGTCGATATAACACCCGCTTTTCGGTCTATATTTCTTAATTAATGTACCGAATAAAGAAGCAGTTTAAACACCATAGTTGGGTAACATGTTTATGACGTTACAAATGATGCAAAGGATCTTTAAACCAATCAGTGAAGTCTATATTAATCGTTTGTTTAGTTGTTGATGTGGCAATAAGTGTCTGACGTCACAGGTGATTGCATCATATTCCAGTCACGCCATTTTACGACATCGCATAATTTGAGCTGATTTTGGCTTCATTTCACTTTATTTGAAAGACTTTTAAAAATATAATAATGAGTCAGTATTTTTCTAAAAAAAATATTTATATTCGAATTTGAGGTCAAAGTCCGAAAATTTGATCAACCAATTTGAATCACAATTTAAAGAGGTGAAAAAGTGAATAATTACAGGAGCAAACGTGATCAATGGTTCAAGAGAAGAACATCCAACTTGAAATGAAAGGCAAAACATCAAAAGAGGAGTGCCGAAAAAATCATACACATTTCATTCAGAATTTTTATGCAAATTGCATGTCATGCATTTGGTTTAAATTTTTTGTCTCCCCCGTCGAAATTTGGACCAAGTAGTGTTGTCATGATGTGATTTATCGCACATCGATGCATCGGCAATTTTCAGTTAGTAAACATCGATGCACATCACGATGTACATCGAGAAAAAGTCCGAGAAAAGTGCACTGAAATCCTGAATGCTAATGCACTAAAATACCGAACAGAACAAATTAATAATAAGAATACGCTGGTACATCCGGGAACTTCTAGTAACGGTGAAATGAAAGTAAAGTAATTTTTTTAGATTAATGGTTCATTTCGACTAGCTAAAACAGTTTAAAAGCGAAATGATATCAGAAAACATTGGAAAATGAAATAAGACATGAGAAAGGTAAGCGATTTGCGTCAAAATAAGATAAGAAAGGGTGATTTTTAGCAAATTAATTAAGAAAAAGTCCGAGAAAAGTGCACTGAAATCCTGAATGCTAATGCACTAAAATACAGAACAGAACAAATTAATAATAAGAATACGCTGGTACATCCGGGAACTTCTAGTAACGGTGAAATGAAAGTAAAGTAAATTTTTTTAGATTAATGGTTCATTTCGACTAGCTAAAACAGTTTTAAAGCGAAAGAATATCAGAAAACATTGGAAAATGAAATAAGACATGAGAAAGGTAAGTGATTTGCGTCAAAATAAGATAAGAAAGGGTGATTTTTAGCAAATTAATTTTTTTTGAAAACATCGATGTTTTGTTTTAGACATCGATGCATCGCCAGAATCAGCTTTGGCGATGTACATGTATATCGCGATGTATCGATTAAGGTGACTGTTAACTTAATCGATTTTCAGAAAAAATTGAAAATTTCACAATTTTGAAATTTTCAAACTCTTCCTGAGACGTTTTTATTATTTCACATATGCTTGTGCACTGTTATCATTACAAAGACATCAAAGAACAACAAAAAACTTTAGTTTGAGAAAAAAAAATGCCGTTTAAAGAATTTTAGAAGATTTTTTTCAAGGAGTAGCCCGTGAAAAACCGCTGATTCAAAATATCTGAACATTTCAGAAAATATACTTCAAACATATATCAAAAACGAAGGAGCAACGGAAATTTGAAAAATTACCCGATAAAAAAATTGGGATCAAAATAAGGAAAAAAGTACACTTCTCAAATTGTTTTTTTCTATTTTTTTTAATTTGTATGAGAGATTTCAAAATTCTAAAGCTCCTTCCATTTTGGGCTATATTCAAGGGATGTTTCAGAGAAATTAGAAAAAAAATGTTCAGGGACCTTTGCCGTGCTACTCTTTTCGTCAATTTTTCTGTCACATTTTCAGAGGACTCAAATTCCCATTCCAAAATGTTTACTGTTTCTATTTGCATTACCACAGTGAGCCTGGTTATATAAATGATAAGTGGAACTAAAAAATTGAGAGAAAATCCAACCAAAAGACAGTTAATTTTGATGGTCAGATTATACTCAAATGCCATGTGCTTCCTGGTTTCGGCCATCTTGGATTTTTTGATTAAGTTATAAGTTACCTTAATCGTGACAACACTAGGACAAAGGTGTTTAGATTTGGACCAGGTGTTCACAATTTGAAGGCAGATGTTCAACATTTGTAATTTACTTATTTAGGTGCTCCCAGGTTGACAGGCCTGTATTTGAGACATCCACAAGTTCAAGAAAAGTCCCAAATTGAAGTTCAAAATTGGCAAAAAATGAAAAACAGCAAAGAAATTGACTAGCCTACCTTGGAAGTTTAGTCGTCGTCGTACGACTAATACTGCAGCTCCTATCATGTCTAAGGTAGTGCTTCTTCCCATTGAGTGGGTAGTTTACAGTTTTAAATTGTAAAATGTTGAAGTACTTTTCACAAACGTGTTGAATTTTTGTAGCTATGGGGTAGTCTAGAAGTCAAACTATATGTGCAACATAATCTTTCGAAAACAAGAGAGAGAAAATCAAAATGGTGAATAAACCTCCTAATAGAGTCTCTGAGTATCAGGTATGATTTTATTATTTATCAAAAAATAATTTATTGTAGTTGATCTGTTAAAAAGCGAGCCTAAAATGTTAATTCGTTCTGAATATACCAATTCAAGTTTGACATGCCGAGATCTCTCACGTCCCGCCAATGTCTGCGAATATGATCTAGTAGAGATTGATGCAAAGATAGGAATGTTAGGCAGACGGCAGTGTCTAGACGACTAAGTAGCCTACTGTCTAGACTATCTTGTGATACAGACTTTAGTTTTGGGAGTCAGAGAAATATTCAAGTTCTTCAGTGGCAGCCCAGGCCGGGCAGGCACTTGCCTTGTACTTTGAATTTCGCAGCAGGTAACTTATCTATAGATCTACTATACTAGACTAGGCCTATTCTGTGGGGGGGGGGTTAAAGATCCAATTCTTAGCCAGGTTTTGGTAAGTTCACATTCGAGAACTGTGAAAGTGCGGGTCCAGGGGGCTAGTCGATGCCCCCCCCCCCCCTTGAGTGGACCCAGAAACGTTTCTAGGGCCCCAAAACATATTTGGCCAAAAAATTTTGCTGGGCCTCGCCAAGACCGTACTGGACTTTGTTTGGCGAAACTTGGACTTCTGGGCCTTTTAGGGAATGTACTAAAAACCCTTCGACCCTGCAACCTACGACTTACAGCCTGTCAAGAATTTTTGAAATATATTTTTATAAAAACCCTTCGACGTGACGTCACTTCCGAATCATAGCATTCAAAATAAGTAGCGTTTAATTACTCCACCATTCATAAAATCACGGTGGTCTAGCGGAAGAGTGCTCGCTTAGCACGCGGGAGGCCCGGGTTCGAATCCCGCATTCGCCTTTTTATTTTTTTTAACTAAATGATTGTTCTTTGACATTACACAGATAATTTTTTTTATTTACATGAACTTTATATTAGAGCAAAAAATGTGAAAAATAAAAAAGGAACATTACAAAAATGATATTTTTGAAAATTTTATTGTTAATGGAATATTACGAATGTGATGCATTCATGGTATGGATATATGACGAAATACAATGAGTGATTGTTCACGCGCAATCATGAACAGCAGAGTGAGTATCTATTTGGTTCAATCATACAAGCCAACTAGACGGAAAATTAGAAAACAAAAGCGCTAATAGTTAAAACTATTGAACGAGGTAGCAGCTTGTTCGAGAATGTTTTTACATACATGGACCCAAATCCTCAATTAGGTCAATAAAAACCTAATTAGGGCAACCGATTTCTAAGATTGATTTTAAGGTATGATTGCATCATTTTGCATGGTATATACTTAACGTACATAAACAAACTTTATGCATGTCACTAAACATTTTTTTCTTTACACAACCTTTATTTTGAAAACACAGAACGTTTTGGATCACATCTGGAACCTTTAATTGCTGCAAATCGTATCAGAAATAAACCGTTATTCGCCCATTCTCCGTTAAACGTGACTTTTGAGGTGTCAAAATATTAATTTTTCGACTTCAACCAAAATACTAGCTCTACTTAATTCATGGATGGCTATGGTCTGTGGATGAAAAATGCAAAGTTTCATCAGCCTTGAATCAAAATTGGAGAAGTTATGACGCCTTGTACAGCCTGTTGTATAAACAGTATGCTGTTACAAACATTTAATTTGATACCTAATTTACGGGACACTTCTAAATGCTAAAAATGACGAATATTGTACATCACATACTTATTTTCTTGGTTGCATATCGATCTCATGGTCCTCACAAGTAAATTGATATAAAAATCTAAGTTAATTTTCGTATTTTCAAAAAGCGTGTGTCCCGTAAATTAATCTCGTTAATTAATTTAGGATTTCAAGTACACTGTGGCTAGTCGATCTATGTGGATGCAGTCATTTATATGTAATGTATCGTGGGTACTCGCGTACATTATAGGGAATGGGGTCATTGCAAAAATATGACAGCAAATCGAGGTAAGTGATCTCAGAGTTTCTACTTAACATTGTGACTTGAAATCTTGCACACATATTCAATATACATAGTATGACAATGTGTGAAAGTTTCAGCTACCATATTCCTGTTATAGGGAAGATATTTGAAAAACATTTCGTAAACGTCAACATATATGTATAAAATGGATGCACCTATGTATCATTTGGATTCAGAACGGTAACAAATGGATGCTTTAATAAATTATACTTTTATCATGATGATTTATTTACTGATGGACAACTGGCCAGATTTTCTTTGTATCCATTGTTTGGATAAACATTCCTCATTCACTAAAGTAATTAGCCACCCCATTACAAGTAGTCTAAAGGCACCCTCATGAAAAATTGAAAATACTATATATAAACCAATCAAGTGGAAAATGCCATTACAGATGAAATAAAGGACCCACGGTCCTGTGCTCACACAGTGTAGAACCTAAAGAGGAATGTATATCCTGATTTACAAACAAAAGTATTGGTAAATATGAGATCAATTAAAGATGAGTCCTTTGTTGTTGGTTCAGATATGATTTGTTGTAGTCAAAAGAAAAACTATGAATTTGACCTAGATTTTGACCTAGGCCTTTTAGTGTTCAAATTTTGAAGGAAAGTAGATTTTGAGGACGGATTCTATTGTAGATTCTTATTAAGTTGGCTGCATCCAAGATCTAGTGTTGTGTTGTTACAATTGATAATTTTCTTAAGCCCCATTGACTTAACATGGGATACCAAAAAAGCGATTTTTGAGATTTCAAAATGCCATAACTTTCGAACCGGAAGTAGGATCAAAATCTGGTTTGCAGATTCAGATTCCTTGGACAATTTTACACATATTTCATAACTTACATTGAATTCCAAGAACTTTTTATTGTGACCTACTTTTCGGATGCCATATCTCAAAAACGGTAAGAGTGATCAAAAACAACTTCCCTGTAGGGATTAGCTTTTTTCCAAGGAACATGATTAAAAAAACGGAGCAAAAATATTTAAGGGCGACTGAGAAAATTGAAAAAAATGACAAAGTACTGGATTTGACCTAGTTCTTGACCTTTGACCTGGTTTAAACCTGATTACACCCAGATCTGGACTTGGACCTGAACTGGACCTTGACTTGGACCTGGACCTGGACTTGGACCTGGAAATGGACTGGACTGGTATTTTTTCAATCTTTTCTTCACTTCTCTTGACTTTCTATAAGGCTATCATCAGATCGATTTTTCTCGAAATCTAAAAATCAGTAATTTCTCGGAAACCGGGTGAACTTGGGAAATGGCGATGATAGGTCAAATAGACATTATGGATATGCATAAAATGAATGTGGAAATGACTCAATCCGAATAGCAGTTTTAATTTGTGCAGCCAATGTTAACAGACGGACGGACCAACGGACGGACGGACGGACCAACGGATGGACGCCTGGTCGATCCCATAGTCTCACTGTGTGAGCCAAAAACTATGGTTTTATCGCTGATACTGTTAATTTGACCCACTGGAATACCCACAAATCAAGTTTTATAGCCTTGCCAAAGTCAGTCTATTATTCTTATCTTAATTTCTATTATGACCGCCTTTTACCCAAGAGAAAGCCATGTGCTTTACCGACCCAATGTTTTTGTCGGTAAAATTTAACAAATCAACGACGGCCCTACATTGCCGGACTAGGTCTTCGTGCATTTCAATCGCAAATTCAGATTTGATTTTGAATCAACATTGAATTGCATGATTTCATTTAGCCGAGTATTAATGACTGCTTACATTCCAATGTGCATTTAATAACATAATATATTGTAACTCTCAAGAAACACTCGATCAGAGATCAGATCATTGAATTTCAAGTCTTAGACGGGTAGTTTGCTTTTTTATGCAGGTCAACCTGATAACGTTTTGATTGGTCAATCAGCCTGAAGTCACACGTTGTGTCCATGTCCATATTGTCAATCAATATAGTTTTGCGATACCCTTAGGTAGCCTGGGTATTATGGGAATCTCGGAACCGCTAAATAATATCAGCGATGATACATTGGATTGTACAAGGTGGTAATAATTCAAGATCAGATAAGTAAATAAATACCGACTTGGGCAAGGCTACCAGTTTAAGAGCCATTAACATTCCTTGAAGGTGACAATGAGCAGCCAACAGATGGACCATCCGTAAATCTTGATGATTTTGTCAGCTCAGCTGAACGAGCCTCCTGAAACAAATGACCATCATTCAAGAATAGTATTATCTATTTACAATTTTTTGAAATCGTGGTAAGTGGAATTTTTCCAATTACCAATATAACATTATTATTGTTTTCGGACGCTGTGGATTAAAACATTAAAAATACACACATTCAAAAAGATTCAATTGAAACCTAGCCAGTCTGTTCAATGAATCCAATCAGAACGTCTACTAATCCACATGATACATCATAATTAAATTGCTTTTTTAAAGCTGATATTTCATACCATAACTCCAAAAATATTATAGAACGCATTGTATTTGTATTTTACTTCACACAGACATATTTGTGTATGTGAATTTATTGTATTACTTGAATTTTTTATTCCCCATTACAAGGTAAACCTATGGCAAATTATACATACCTTCTCACAGCTATGAGCGAGATGATAAAACTGGTCGAGTGAACTCGTTTGAGTTATCTATTCTCCGTAACAATATCAGAGAATGTGTGTTTATAGCGTAGCTTTGGTTTTGTAAATCAATGAAGTATGATATACACGGATGAGTAAATATAGATTATTTAAAAAGAAGTGCAAAATTCTTCCATTAAAAAGTACAGAGGTGGGTACTCACGAAACATTACATGTGCCTGACTGCATCCACATAGATCGACTAGCCACAGTGAACTAATTATAACACAGGAAATATGAAACCATGATCGGGAATATAGCTGGTTTTAAAAAGAGACCCAACGTGCCTAAATATCTGTTGTATTAGATTTGTCATAATATGTCTGCATGTTCTTTTAAAATGGCAGTCCCGTAAATTAGGGCCAAAATTTCCATTCTAGAATCCATAAGTTGGACTAGAATTTCTGATTGCATGGACCCTTTGTCATAAAAAAGCCTTGTTTATTGGATCGGGTATCAATGTGATTAGTTTGCAATCAATAACTTGTTGGTAAGAGGCTTACATACGAGACCAGGTTGAAGTGTCATAGTCTGACTCGTAAATTAGATACAACTGAGTGACAGAATTCAAAGTTAAATTTTTGAAAGACTAAAAGATGGATCGTTAGGTTAGGTATTTTTTATGAAAGTAAATATACCGAAGATACGTTATAATATATTACATAGCGGCTGTATGCCATTTGTGTACAATGTTCACTTATCACTTCGGTGACAGGCCATTTTGGGTACCCTCACATACTTGAGACACCTCTCAGTCAGTAACACAATATGGTGCAAATGTAATATGTATCTAATTTTACTGCCATTTCATGATTTTTGATAAAAAATGTCATTTATACCATAAAAAGTGCATATATTTTGATTAACATCATTAGGAAAAGCAGTTACACCATTTGTCACTCTTAACGGAGAAGTTTGCATTAATAACAACTTTGCTATATAAATCAATCAAAGATGAATATAATCCCTCATCTGTAAGATCCCGATTTAAATCGGGAGATATCCCGTTTTTTATTGATCATTACGATCTTCCCAAAATCCAAATTTTCAAAAACTATGATTTTTATACGGGTTTTAAGAAAATATCCCGATCCTTTCGTTAAATATCTCGTTTTTTCATAAAATATCCCAGTTCATCTATGCAAATCTGGAAAATATAATCATTTTTTGTTCACTTTGTTATCAAGTAATGAAAAGACTGTAAAGTATCTTCTCTGCAAATATCATTGTTGTAGGAGTGTGGACTCACCACTAAAACCTTATGAACCACAAAAATCTTATAATATATTGAAAGAGGATTTCTCTGAATTATTGGTGTTTCAAATATGGGAACTGAAAATAACTTTAAAATTAAGCCTCCATACAGGCATTTAATTTCAAATGCCAAATTAAATGCCATTATATGCCAATATACATTTATTAAAAGTGACCCCATAACAATTAAGATAAGAATATGGCAAACATGTTAAGAAAACTGGCGAGAAGTAATTGAAATAAGAAAATCGATTCTCATTCCCAAAGTGCCCTCATGTGCATTTAATTGCAGTCATTTTATCCTAATTGCCCATGGACATTTAAAAAGATATTCGCGTCCCAACTCCTATCGAAACATGCTAAGGATACTGTATTAAGTGTCTCAACAAGAAAAGTCAGTTCCCTTAAAAATGCCCATGGGATTTTTTCTCAAGATTTTCACCATAATTGCTCGTGAGAATTCATCAAAGATATTTTATTCCCATTCACATGTCTTATTATCAGTCACAATCAAAATTTTGTCAATTGCTTTCATTTCTTGTATAAGTAAATTTGCACAAAAATAGCATATCTCAAAGTTGACTTTTAAACCACCTGAGTGTCAAGGTCAAGGGTGGGGGCTAAAAGAGGTGTTTACTGCCATTTGTCCTTTGATTGGATAAGAGTTAGAACCTTTTTATCAGGGTGTCCAACAAAAAACATGACCGTAAGAAAGTTGAATAACTCGGTCACTTTTGCATATTTTGCCTTGAAATTTGAGAATTATTTAGTCCATTCAATGTGAATTTTGTTCTGAAAGTTTGATGATAATCTGTTTGTTGTGTCAAAAACTACAGTCCTTTACAAAACATGCTCAAAGTGGGCACTTCTTCTCTCTATGCACAAACGAACCCTGCGAACAAAGTTGTTAATGACCCTTACCTATACACTTTAATGTGGATGGTAAATATTGGGGTAGTTATTGCCCTCTTGAGATTGTTAGGGGCCTGTCAGTATACACATTGGCTTTGAGAAATCCTCAAGGATAAAAATTTGGGGGATTTAGATCAGGCGAATGAGCTGCCCATATGGTTTGCGTTCTGCAACTGATGAGCTGACCACAAAAGCATTGCCTAAACCATTTCAGCATATCATTTGCAGTGTTGGGGTGGTATTGGCTCATTGAAACCACTGCTTAATTATCTCCTTAGATGTCCCTTCTGGTGCTTAGTGACCTCCAAAACTTGGTGAGAACTTACTGGTCCTTATTCATGGTGATAGCAAGTCCCCAGTCACCTTCGAACCAAAAGGGACTAATGATTCCATGTTTCCTCATTGCCACCCAGGGAGTGCATTGTTCAGAATGCAATGGATGCTGTAACACTTCATCAGGAGGATGTAAGCCCCAGTAGCAATTGTTCTTGGAACAAACTTGTCCATTCAGAAAGAAATGTGTGTAGGAGGATCATCAACAGCTTTTTTCGCCGGATAGAATTGTGCATAAAGATGAGATTTGCACATTTGGGCATGTTTTGTAAGGAGCTGTAGTTTTTGACTCAATTGGTAGATTATTATCAAACTTTCACAACAAAATTCACATTGAATGAACTAAATAATTCTGGAATTTCAAGGCAAAATATGCAAAATTGACCGAGTTATTCAACTTTCTTACAGTCCTGTTTTTTTGGACACCCTGTACATAGTTTATTGTAAATCAAATGGACTTACACCCGTTTGGTATTGAGAAAAACATATTTAGAGCCAAGATGGAAGTTTTTCGTTGATTTCATTGGAAGGTGCATTTGACGCAGTCCCACATTTTTTGTTACTCAATAAGATGAAATCTTATGGATTAGGCAACAATATTAAAGAGTTATTGACCTCATATCTAACAGATAGGAAATCAAAAGTAAGGATCGATGATACTTATTCAGACATTTCATGTAATGCTGAAGCTGGTGCAAATATTCCTCAACATCTTCAAAATCGAGACTCTAGATCCTATGAAATAAATAGCGGGGTTCCCCAAGGATCAATTCTTGGCCCCCTCTTATTTTTGCTATATATTAATGATTTAGCAGACTCAGTTCATAATTGTAAACTCTTCTTATATGCTGATGATAGTTCCATCTTCTTGGCAGTACCAAAGAATGAATCAGTTGAAGCAACAAATCAAAAAATTCAATTAGATATCAATGAAATGGCTAATTGGTCCACTAAATGGAAACTCAAATTTAAGGCATCTAAGAGTAAAGAGGTTATCTTTCAATCTAAACACACACGAAAAGTCAAGAAACAAATTCCAGTAACAAT